ATGAAAGCAAGTTTTGATATAGAAGAAAAGAATTGCTGAGCCAGCATTACTGGCTAACCAAGGAGCCAAAGGGTGTGTTAGTTAGAAGGGGTTTTTATGACTTAGAGCAAAGGATAAACCCACCCCAAACAAGAAGATGTTTTTACCAAGCAGAAAGAGAGCACAGGCAAACAACTCAGCAAATGCTGCAAGTAGAAAAAAGGTCTCAGAATTTTCCACTGCAAGAAAACTGAAAAACAACTTCAAGCTTAAACTGTAATGTGCTGACTTTTAGTGATTGGAGGACAGTAACATGAATATGAACAGTAACATGAACATAATTATAGCAGTTATGATAGGCTGTAGGTAAAAATTAAGGTATAGATTGGTTCTACTGTATTAAGATGCTCAGCAAAGAAAAGTATATAATGCAGTGTAACCAAAACCAAAGGGTCTCCAGGCCTGCCTGCAGCTGGAGCTGACACCTGTAGGCACAGCTCTGTCACCCACAACCCTGGATTGCTGTGACATTTTGGATGGAAGAAACTGCATTTTGAAGAGCTGCCTGGAGTCCCACGTCCCTCATTCAGGCTCCTACAATGGGGTTATTAATGAGCTTAAAATTAAGGTTGGACAAACTGGGACTTCTAAGAGCCCAGCTATCAGCCCAGTGCTGCCATCATATTCAGTTTAACCACATCCTCAAGTGCTGCATGGATAGGTTGGTGGGGAAAGAAAGAGGAGGCTCGGCCTCAAAACGTCGGGAATTCTTCCCAGAATAGGAACAAAGTAAAATGTTCTCATGCCCAAGTTAGTCACACACATCAGGCCTGGTGAGGAGGATTTCAGCTGTGCCAGGTTTTGGCATGTCTGTGAGGGAGTTCAGCTGCTCTGACTCCGTGTCTGGCATTGCTTTAGGGAATAACCCACTCCCATGGTTATTCCAGCTCTGAAATCCCTGTGCACTCCCCCACAGCAGGGCTTCCCATGAGCTAAGGCACATGGTGGGTACCTGCTGCTGCTGTTTAGGATCTTCATTACAGAATCACAGAATAATGAGGCTGGAAGATAATGAAAAAAGGAAAATCAAAGGTCTTAGCAGGAAATTCTTAAAAAGCTTTTGGGTGTGCTATTTTTTGGATTTGGTTGGTTTGGGTTTTTCTTTTTTTTTGTTTTTTGGGGATTTTTTTGGGACTGTCTCTCAAACACTAGCTTCTAGAGGTTACAGACTTCTTACCTTTCTTTTATGATAGAAATGTGAACTCAAAGGTTCTGTCTTGAGTTTGTGATAAGAACCTTTCTCTGAGACTCCTAACACCTCGCCTAGGCTATAGCACCAAGTGCCATGTCCAGTCTTTTTTTAAACACATCCAGAGATGGTGATTCCACCACCTCCCTGGGAAGAGCATTCCAGTACTTTATTATTGTTCTGGTGAAAAATTTCTTCCTAATTTCCAACCTATCCCTTCCCTGACATAGCTTGAGACTGCTGTCCTTCCTGTCAGAAGGGTTAACCCCCCTTGTCTCTTGTCCGCCAAACACGACAGAACACCTCTGAAAAACTGTCCCACCACATAAATAAGGTGTGTGTGTCCTTGAATCTTTGCCAAACACACTGTGTGCCCCCAGGGGAGCTACTTGGCCNAATGCAGATATGACAAATGAACCCTTGGTAGAACTCCCATTCCCGTCTTCAATTGGTTTCAGAACAGAGGAGGCCACAATTGTCTTATGTTCCTAGAAGCCATTTATCAGTTTCTATATTCTTCATTATAAACCCAGCTAACCAAACATTATGTTGACAAGCAATCAATTATTAGTTAACCACTAACTCTTAACTGTGATGGTGTTCACAGGGGTCCCAACATCAGGGAAGAGATGAGAATCTTGACTCCATGTATCAGAAGGCTTGATTTATTATTTTATGATATATATTATATTATATTAAAACTATACTAAAAGAATAGAAGGATTTCATCAGAAGGCTAGCTCAGAATAGAAAAAGAATGATAACAAAGGCTTGTGACTGGCTGAGACAGTCTGGACAGCTGGGCTGTGATTGGCCATTGATTAGAAGCAACCACATGAGACCAATCACAGATGCACCTGTTGCATTCCACAGCAGCAGATAACCATTGTTTACATTTTGTTCCTGAGGCCTCTTGGCTTCTCAGGAGAAAAAATCATAAGGAAAGGATTTTTCAGAAAAGTTGTCTGTGACACTTAACTTCATCAGGGCCTACCCATTTACTTTGATTAACTCCAACAAAGCTTATCTCTAACTAAAACCTCAGCTCCTGTAAAATCCCTAAATTCCTTAAAGTTTACATCTCACCTGGGACATGTGTGGCATTAATGGTTTGGAAGTAGCGGGAGTGGGATTTAGGGGAGTGGACTCAGGGGCGCCTGTGATAGCATAAGTGACTTGTGTAGCATCTCTCTTGTGCTCAATTGAAGAGCCACCCCCAAGGTCACAGAAGGGGTTTGGTTATGTCTTTGATGCCGTGGCAGGGTGGGTGTTGGGCTGTGCCCCCCCAGGTGAGCGCGTGTTGTTCCAGGAGCCTGGATCTTCACCGGGGGAACGCACTACGGGCTGATGAAGTACATCGGGGAGGTGGTGAGGGACAACACCATCAGCCGCAGCTCCGAGGAGAACGTGGTGGCCATCGGCATCGCCGCCTGGGGCATGATCTCCAACCGGGAATCGCTCATCCGCACCGCCACCAGCGACGTAAGGAGCAGGGCATGGCGCGTGGGAAGGGTGAAAGCTTCACAAGACAGTCTCACAGATACGTGTGCTTGGCAGAAAGGTTTTTACATGTAGAATCTGAAGAAGGAATAGAAATGAAAGCAAGTTTTGATATAGAAGAAAAGAATTGCTGAGCCAGCATTACTGGCTAACCAAGGAGGCAAAGGGTGTGTTAGTTAGAAGGGGTTTTTATGGCTTAGAGCAAAGGATAAACCCACCCCAAACAAGAAGATGTTTTTACCAAGCAGAAAGAGAGCACCTCTGAAAAACTGTCCCACCACATAAATAAGGTGTGTGTGTCCTTGAATCTTTGCCAAACACACTGTGTGCCCCCAGGGGAGCTACTTGGCCCACTACATCATGGATGACCTGAAGAGAGACCCCCTGTACTGCCTGGATAACAACCACACCCATCTGCTGCTGGTGGACAACGGCACCCACGGGCACCCCACCACGGAGGCCAAAGTGCGGACCCAGCTGGAGAAGTACATTTCAGAGAGGGTCATCCCAGGTATCCTCCTCCTCCTCCTCCTCCTGCTGCCTCTGCATGCTCTGGGGCACAGCCACAGTGACTTCCTTGGAAAAAGAAAGCACTGGCAGCATCCTGTGGCTGCTGAGCTGGAAGGTTCACAGTGTGTGTGTGAACTGCAGTGCATCTGGAGCTCTGTCAGGAGCAGCACCTTCCCTCATCTGCCTTTCTGTGTGTCCTTTGTGGCACAGGAAATGCTTCATTTCAGCCACACAGCCCTTCCCTCCCTTCCTCTTAAAGCTGGCCCTTCTATATCCATCCCCTCTGTCACTGAATTCCAAGTAGCTGGAGCAATGTTACACAGAAGCTGAAGTTAGGCTTTTCCCAAAATATTTATTTATGAGGGTGATTGAGCCACCTGCAACCTACTGCTAAATAATTTCTCTTTCACCCACTTCTTTACAAAAAAAAAAAAAATCAAACACCTTAGCTATAAATTCTTAAAAAGCTTTTGTGAGTGTTGTTGTTTGGGTTTGGTTGTTTTGGGCTTTTTTTTGGAATGTCTCTCAGACACTAGCTCCAGTTACAGAATTCTTACTTTTCTTTTACGATTGGAAATGTGAACTCAGAGGTTCTGTATCTTGAGTTTGTGATAAGAACCTTTCTCTGAGACTCGACATTTTATTGTGTTTATCTGCTCCTTTGACTCTCTGAGTCAAAGGAGCAGATAAATAGAATAAAATTGCATTTTAAGGCCTTCAGAGATAGCAAGAATTAGGCTTTCTAGAAAGGAAAAACTTCTGTTGGAGAAGGGTGTCTGAATGTTAGGCAAAACTGAGTTTTTATTAAGAACAGCTGTTAGTAACTCTGGCAAAATCAACAGCAAACTAGTATTTGCATGAATGGCTTAGAAATTCTTTCATTGTACTCAGGAAAAAAAAAAGTTGTTCAAACTGCATTAATTGATTTTTCTTTTTTTCTTTTGGCATATTTCACAGAATCTAATTATGGTGGGAAGATCCCAATTGTGTGTTTTGCCCAAGGTGGTGGAAAGGAGACTTTGAAAGTAGGTTCATTTCTTTTATTTATTTCCAGGAATGACAACAGGGGCATTGCTCTGGTATTTAAGACTGATTGCTCCAAAAGAAACTTGATGAAATAGACAGTGCTGTTATTTACAGAAGCTTGCCTTGCACTTGCTACAGAAGGACCTTGTTTGCAATTTAAGCTTTTGAAGTTTGTTTCTGTTAAAATTTCTCTGCAAAGTTTCTGCCTTGGGCTGACATCCTGGAAAAGTATTGGCTGGGACAGTTCAGTTGTCTCAGTTCTTCCACACCCCAGAATGTGAAGGGACATTAAAGACCACCCAATTCCATGGGCAGGGACACCTTCCACTATCCCAGGTTGCTCCAAGCCCCATCCAGCCCAGCCTTGGACATTTCCAGGGATCCAGGAGCTTCTCTGGGCACCCTGTGCCAGGGTCTGCCCACCCTCCCAGTGAATAATCTCCTAATGTAAATATAAATATAAATTTCTCCCCTTGTAGTTTAAAACCATACCCTCTCGTCCTATCACTATCTACCCATGTAAAAAGTTTCTCTCCCTGTTTCTTATAAGTGCATTTTAAATACATTTGGAGTCTAGATCTAGAGCTGGTTTAAGTCTTGGCAGCTGAGCAGGGCAGGAGGGCTCTGCTGACTCTGACCCCTACAAGGAGAAGAACCAGGCATCACCTTCAAACAGAGGACAGGCAGGAGGAGGCTGAACAGAGCAAAGAAATTCCTTGAAACAGGATGTGTAAGTGACTCTGAGGGGAGGGGGAAAGGGAGATCCCTTCTAAATCTCTCTCAGGGTTAACCCAGGGTTGGAACTTGCCCATCCACCTTGCCAGAGTAAGGATGAGTGGCCTGAGGGAGCAAAGGGACCTGCCCAGGGCTTTCAGAGTGAGGGGATGTGGAGTCAGGCCGTGTGGGAAGGGAACAGGAACAGGGAGGACAAGCTCTGACCAACTGCAGGAAGAGCTGGTTTAGCCTGTACAGAGAGCTGGATTGTGCAAGAGAGTAGGATCTTGCAAAAATAAAGTTGAAGCAGCATTATATTTATGGTTTTGTTTTTGTAGGTGCTATCTTGGTACTTCCTGTTCTCACCAGAGCTGTGCTGTTACTGTCAAGGTTAATCAAATTTTGCTTGTCAGGAGGATAAACAATGTGATTTCAGAGCACGATCTCTGCTACCACTGTGTTGCTGGTGTTAATCAGTTGGTCTGAATCAGAGTGTGAAATTCCAGATTGCTATCCCAGCCTCCCTGTATGTTCCCTGGGGGGTTAGCTCCATTAACATGATGAATTTTGTCTTTGCCCAGTTGTAGATAGATTCAGATGCAGTGTTGATCAGAGGTCCTGAGATGAAATGAAGCATCCAGTCATGTTTTAGAGGAAAGCTGTGCTCAGAGGGTTGTGTTGAATATGTCCATTTCCTTTTAGCTCCAAATTGCTGATGTTTGAGAAAGGATTCGGCCATCACTGAAGGAGCTGACTGACTGCCAGGTGCTGTAGCTGTGCAGACTTATGATTTCACATTTTTTGGAGAGACCTCAAACACACTGTTCAGCAGTGATACAGAGTTAGTAGCTGCCTAACCAGAATGAGTAAAAGCCTTGTGAAATCAAATGCATAATTCCTGGCAAGAGTTTCCTCTGGGAAGTACCTGGATGATGGTTCAGTTAGGGGTTCATGCCTCTCTCTTGGCTCTTTCATAGGATCATAATAACATTGAAGTTGGACAAGATCTCTAAGATCCCATGGTCAATTTAGTACCATTATCATGTTCACCACCAAACCATGTCCTCAGGTGCCACATCCACACATTTTTTGAACACTTCAGGAATAGTGACTTCCATAAGCAGCCTGTTTCAGTTCTTGATAACCCTTTCAGTGAAGAATTTTCTGTGATATCCAACCTAAGCCTCTCCTGGTGCAACCTGAGGCTGGTTTATGTCATGCCGAGTTTTTACTTCTCAGTGTGGGAAGTGCACTGAGCTATTCTGAGGTGAAGCCTTTTTTCAAGGAGTAAACTGAGTCTCTGACCAGCCCAGATGTCTCAGCAGAGTCCATGCTGTGGATGTCTGTCCTTGCCATGCCTCGGTCCTGGCAGTGCTGGCCAGGAAAGGCTCCCCCTTCCTCAGCTTCTGTGGCTGGTGCATGATGACAAGAATCAGCATTAGTGAGGGAGAGGTAAAACTGCTCCAAGCTTCTGTTTGAAATTTCCCTGTGATGTAAAACATGCACTTTAGCTGAACCCTTCTTTAGAAAACCCCTTTCATCTAGCTGATAAGAAAAGCCTCCTTGCCTTTGTCAGAGACCTGCTCCAGTTGACAGGAGGAATGTGTGCACGGTTTTGATGACTGAGTTGATTTTTTTGTTGTTTTTGTTCTCTAGAAACTCTCTTAACTAAGAGCTGTTCTGTTTTTTCAGTGCTTGGTGATAACTTGCATTGACTCCCTTTGTGCAATTTGCTGGCAGCAGCTCATGCTGTGTCTCTGTTCTCAGTGTAGGGATGCAAATGAAATCAGTGTCTCCTATGGTCTTTGCCTTAATGGGTTAATGGTCCTTCCAGCACGATTCCAGCAGATTTTTGTCTTGCTGTTAATCCATGTACAATGTTGCTGTGTGAGAAATCATGTCAGTGGCTACTTGGAGACTTTCAGTAACATTAGAGTTTGATGTTCTTGTGATGCTACAGAAGTGATCTCTCTGTAAAACACTGCTGCTGCTGCCTCCAGCAGATAAATCCAGAGCCCTTGGTCTCAGCTGAGCGATGCTGAGCCATAAAGCAGCAGGGGCTGTGGCAGGGCAGCACTGTTGTGTGACCTGAATGCCATTTCCCCTTGGCTGCTGTCCTGACCTGCTGATGCACTCTCAAGCTGAGCAGCCTGGCCTAGTGGAAGGTGACCCTGCCCATGGCGGGGGGGAGAACAAGATGTGCCTTGAGGTCCCTCCCTACACAAATTGCTCTGTGATTCTGTGAAAGTTTGGCAGATGGTGATTTCTGACCCTCAGTCTCTCTGGGGCTCTCAGAGCCCTCTCTCATCAGGTGATGATGCTTTAAAGCATTGTCACTGGTAAAGCATCAGTGGATAATAATGAAAATACTGCTGTGGGCTGTGGGTTTCTGTTGTTCTCCAGCCTTCCTTACTCAATAGCAGGCTCCAGCAGCATTCATGCTCCTCTCCCCGTGTGTCCCCAGTCCATCAACGTGGCCATCAAGAGCAAGATCCCGTGTGTGGTGGTGGAGGGCTCGGGGCGCATCGCTGATGTCATTGCCAGCCTGCTGGAGGCCGAGGGCACGCCGGCCTCCTCCTGTGTCAAGGAGAGCCTGCTCAGGTTCCTGCCCCGCACCATCTCCAGGCTCTCCGAGGAGGAGACGGAGAGCTGGATCAAGTGGGTGAGCTGGTGCTGTGGGAGGAGGGAACAGATGCTGCCTTCCAAGACAGGGGTGTTGCTGTCTGGTGGTACCCACGGGCTGTGCAGGGCTCCTGGCCATGCTACAGCTGTGCAGATTCAAAAAAGGAACATTCTCCATCTGTATGGATTGGGACAAAGGTATTGTGGGGGCTGCAATCAGGTCAGCAGGTGTGTGGTGACAGGAAAGCTAAGAAGGTTCCAGAAGGATCTCTTTCCTGTGGAGGGGGGAGCTGCTGATGGCAGTGTTTGTTCCCTGTCTGGCCACTCTCCTCACAGCTTCTGCTGGGCTGCCCTGGGGTGCACCTCCTCCTGCATCAGAAATGGACAAGATTATTTGTCTTCTGTGTGCTGAAATGAAATGAACTCTACAAAGTTTCATTATGGGAAAAATTATCTGGTTTTGACAAAGCACGAGGATCTAGAGACTGTTCTCTAACAAGCTGCTTCACATAAGCTGAAACTTGTGCTGTCACAATCTTTTCTACTTTAAGAGTCACTTCTAATTACTGAGATTATATCTTCTTGTTGAAGATGATCTGCATAGGGGAATCACAGTTATTTGCTGTGTTTTCAGAGGATAATTAATATTGTCCTTTGGTGACTTTAAAATCAAGCTCATTATCTACTTTTATTTGGGTTTCTTTAAATTTCTTAAAACCCAGGACTGATGAGAAGCAGCTTTGCTATGATGTAGTGACAAATTTCTTTTTAATAGGATATCTGCTACTAAACAGCCTTGATAGCTTTGAAACACAACTTTTCTTTTTTTTTGTAGATCAAAGAAGTCCTTGAGAGCCCTCATTTACTGACAGTGATCAAAATAGAAGAAGCTGGAGATGAAATTGTGAGCAATGCCATTTCCTTTGCCCTGTACAAAGGCAAGTCATTGTTTTTCTGAGTTTGTTTGGAGGTTTAAAAATAAATGGGGAAAGGATGGCTGTTTATTCTCTAGAATAAGTTTCCTTAGAGCAGTGCCATCTCTCTAGAGATGGCTTCTGCCACAGTGTGGAGCCTGCTTGTCTCTGAAGGGGTGTGGGCAGGCTGCAGCAGCAGCATGAGATCTCTCAGGGTGGGAAAGATCCAAACCAGGTAATTGGGAAGGCATTTTGGAGAGCCCTGGGGATGCTGACAGGGCCCCACTGGGAATCCTGCAGGATCTCCCTTGTGTAGAGAGTGCAGGACTCTGAGGAGCCTGAAGGAAACATTGTGCTGTTCTTGGTCATGAGGCTGTTTTGTGGCCTGTCTTGGGCCATAAATACATCCCTGAACCTCCAGCATCCTCCAGGTCCCAGCTGGGAAGATGTGCATGGGTGTGGGAAAAGCCCCTTGGAAGGAGTCTTGTCCTGGGAGTGTGTCACTGTCACATTTTCTGAAAAATCCCTTTGCCCAGGATTTTCTCCTGGGAAGCTGAGGAGCCTCAGAGAAAAAGAAAAACAATTCTTATCTCATTTGCTTCTCCTGTGTTGTGCCCACATGTGGAATGTGGTTGGAGATTGTTTATCCAACAGATGATTGTTCCATTGGGTTCTGCTGTGAGTTGTTTCGGCTCTTTGGCCAATCAGGGCCAAGCTGTGTCAGACTCTGGAAAGAGTCAGTAGTTTTCATTATTATCTTTTTAGCATTTAATAAGTATCCTTTCTGTATTCTTTAGTATAGTTTAGTTTAGTATTTTTGAATATAATATGATAAAGTAATAAATTAGCCTTCTGAGAACATGGAGTCAGATTCATCATTCCTGCCTTGGTCTGGGAACCCCACAAATACAGTAGTAGTGAGAAGCAGAGATGATAAATATGGCTGGCCTTGACCAGGGGTTGTTCTGCTCTGCAGCTTTCAGCACCAACGAGCACGACAGGGACAACTGGAACGGGCAGCTGAAGCTGCTGCTGGAGTGGAACCAGCTGGACCTGGCCAGCGATGAGATCTTCACCAACGACCGAAACTGGGAGGTACAGCCCCCTCTGAGTGAGTGCAGGGGCTCTGGGGAGGGACTCAGCCCAACAGGAGCCCCCCTGTCCCAGCACCTCAGCCTCTGTGCCCTCCTGCTCCTGCACTGACACATCCACTCAGCCTGGAGAAGAGGAGGTCTGACCTCCTTGGGAGCTGCTGCTTCCTCACGAGGGGCAGCTCCCATCTCTGCTGTGACAGGGACAGGACCCAGGGAGCAGCTGGAGCTGTGTCAGGGGAGGCTCAGGCTGGATAGTCTTTCCCCAGAAAAGGATATTCTTTCCCTGGGCACTACCCAGGCTCCCCAGGGAATGGGCACAGCCCCCAGGCTGCCAGAGCCCAAGGAACATCTGAACAATGCCCCAGGGATGCACAGGGTGGGGTTGTTGGGCTGTCTGTGCAGGGCCAGGGGTGTCAGACTTGATGATCCTTGCAGGTCCTTTCCAACTTGGGGTATTCCATATCCATGAATGATCGTTTTGGATCATTCCAAAATGATCCGTTGTCACTCTGTATTTTTAAGTTCTTCTAAGCCTTCTGATGTTTACATTCTAGTAATGAACTTTCTCACACACTTTATGTTAATAGCTTATTGCTTTGCATTCTTTTATGGAGGAGAAATTTGACGGACTGTTGGTTTGTCCAGAGTCATTGGAGAGGTGGCACTGTCACCCTCCAATCCACTGTCACTTTTGGAAATTGATAAATGTTGGAGTCGGAAAATAAAAAGACCCTTTTTACCTTGGAAAGAGCAGCGAGTCTGCATCGTGGTGTTTTGTGTCCTATAATGACAATCCATCATTCCATGATGATCCATTGTATGATCAGTCATTGCAAAGGTGATGTGCCCATGCCAGAAATGCTCTGGGCCATCCAGCCAAGGCAACTGTGTACAGGAAAAAACCTGATTCTGATGAAGATGTGACAGTGACCGTGTGTCAGGCCTTAGATAAGGTGCACATGTTTCACATGATCCCCAACATTTGCTTTTCCATTCCTCCCCAGTCTGCAGACCTGCAGGATGTGATGTTCACAGCCCTGGTGAAGGACAGGCCCAAATTTGTCCGGCTCTTCCTGGAGAACGGCTTGAATCTGCGCAAGTTCCTGACCACAGAGGTCCTGAGGGAGCTCTACACCAACAACTTCAGCAGCCTGGTGTTCAAGAACCTGCAGATTGCCAAGAACTCCTACAACGATGCCCTCCTCACCTTCGTGTGGAAGATGGTGGAGGATTTCCGCAGAGGTTTCAAAAGATACTACAAGAACAGCAAGGATGAGATGGAGATTCAGCTCTCAGTGAGTGATGAGCACTTTGATCCTGCTGTGACTGAGGTTTTGTGGCTGCAGTGGTTAAAGCAACAAGTGCCTTTTACACAAATATTCTTTAGTACCAGCTTCAGGAAAAACAGGGAGGCTGATTCTTCCTTGTCAAACACAAAGCTTTAATAGAAGCATCAAATACAGCCTAACTCACAGTAGTGTGTGACAAGTGGCAGAGAGCTGCGAGAAGGGATTGGTGAGGTGGCTGTGAAACAAAGAAAATACAAAAACAGGAGAGTCCATGCTCAGATTTCTTCCAGTTGAAAACATTTGGTGAGCTTAGGCCTGAATTCTTTCTCTCTCTTTCAGGAGGAGTGTCCTATCACAAGGCACCCATTGCAAGCTCTGTTTATTTGGTCAGTTCTTCAGAACAAGAAAGAGTTGTCCAAAGTCATTTGGGAACAAGTGAGTTCTCCTTTATTTCTCTTTGCAGGCAGTGCACTGGGGTTCTGTGTCTTTTGTTTATTGGCCTTTGAAGACTTCACATCCAGCTTCAGGCACAACACCACAAGGGATGATTGCTAGATGACTCTCAGTAGGTTTTATATTGCCCATTTTGTGTCTGGGTGTGGACTTGATACTTTGATTTCCTAAGGCTGTGTGAGAGTCAGCAGTGCACATCCACTGTCTGCTGTCACCTGTGCCTAAGCTGGGATGCTGAGCTCCCGCCCATTCCACAGCATGGATGGGTTCTGACTCCAGGGGTTTGATTGAAATCCAACTTCTAATTTGGATTAGACAGTTATTGAATGGTTGTAGAATCAAATAGATCATTCTAGACTGGGAACTGAGAAGGTGCAAAATGGAAAATAACTTTTAAAGGATTCCACCTGGTGTAGTGGAGGGTGTCCCTGCCTGTGGCAGGGGGTAGGGATGAGATAAACTTTAAGGTCCTTTCCTCCCCAAATCATTTTGGTGTCAGGGCTCTGTGATCATGTTCCCTTCTCAGAGGGATGTGCATGACTTCACTCTCTCTCCACAGACCAGAGGCTGCACTTTGGCAGCCCTGGGGGCCAGTAAGCTCCTGAAAAGCATGGCCAAGGTGAAGAATGATATAAATGCTGCTGGTGAGTCCGAGGAACTGGCTAACGAGTATGAGACAAGAGCAGTAGGTAAGTGCCTGCTCTGTGAGTCCTTTAGGAACTTAGTGGGAAGGGTCAGAGACCAAGGAATCAAAAACTAGAAATCCCACATTAAATAAATTTTTCCTTTATGTCAACCTGTGGTTTGACTGCTTGGAAATTCCTTCCACGCCATTTGCTCCTAGTAGAAATTTTGTGTCCTGGCTTCAAAAGGTGGATGTTGTGAAGTGGGCTTTTTCTTGGGGTGGAGAATTTCTTTTATGGGGAAGAAAAGCTACTTAGCTTCACTGGCTAAGGCTGAAGAAGGATGCCCACCAACAGGAAGGAGAATACAGAAAAGGGGAAACTTTCCTAATGAATACTGGTTGGGAAAAAGCACTCTTCAGATTTGTGGGAGTACTTCTGGGAGTGAAAAGAAGTTGCAGGTAAAAAGTAGATTGATGGTTCTGTGACTTTATAAGGACCAGCTCAATGCCATGCTGGAAATATCTTGTTTGTTTCCAGAGATTTCTCTTATTCCACAAAGCAAAAACTGCTTAAATAGACTTTTTAAAAGGTATCTACATCCCTCAGACCTGATGATTTAGCAAGACACTAAGGAGGGAGCAGTGCATTTCCCAGGGAAAAAGCATCAGATTTTGACTATTTCAACCCTACTGTTAATTTTGAACTGACAATAATTCATCAGATCAGTGCCAAACAGAATTTAAGAAAAGAGGATGAAGCAAATAGATTTACTGAGTCATTTAAGGAGAAACTCACATTTTTTACTCAATTCTTTAGTACAGAACTAAATGCTCTCTCTGCGATTTAGTGTTACAGTTTTCCATCCAGGCTCAAACTCTGTATCAAAAGTTGAAGATGTGCAAGTGGGGTCATAAAGTGATTTCAGCACAGTCATTCTGCAGCGCTGAAAATGTGATATCACAAGTATTACACTAAAGATATCTGCACCCAAGTTGGTGGGAAATTGAAGTTGGAGCTGCCTCTTCCTTGCAGAGCTGTTTACCGAGTGCTACAGCAACGATGAAGAGCTGGCAGAGCAGCTGCTGACTTATTCCTGTGAAGCCTGGGGAGGCAGCAACTGCCTGGAGCTGGCAGTGGAGGCCAGGGACCAGCAGTTTATTGCCCAGCCAGGTGTGCAGGTAATGGCTGTGAGGGAAAGGTGTGCAGGTCACTGTGGCTCCTGTGCTCTAACAGGGGCTGTTGGCTCCTCTACCCACAAATGTAAATCAGGAGGGGAAAAAAAATCTTGGCTTGGGGCTATAAATCATAATTAAGTGGGTAATAAAGGCCGACTAAAGTGATTTCTACTCCTGGCTTGCACAGTGTGGATATAATGCCCAGCATGGATGAGCATTGCATAGAATGCAGTGGTTTATAAGTGTTTTATCAATCAGGTCAAGTCCTGCTCAGCCTCATTTTTAACTCCTCATCACATAGATGGAGCATGGCTGCCCTAAGGAACCAGCATTGCTGAGACCTTTCTGGTTTGTTGCAACAGCAATCTCTAGTATTTTGACTGAAATCTCAAAGTTAGGGGTCTATTTTTACCAAATCAAATGTTCTAAATAGCATTTCTAGGTGATTTTGTTGCTGTTGGCACAAATGAGGGCGTTTCCTTCTTCCCTGCAGAATTTCCTCTCCAAGCAGTGGTATGGAGAGATTTCAAGAGACACAAAGAACTGGAAGATTATACTGTGCCTGTTCTTTTTCCCTTTAATAGGCTGTGGTTTCATCTCATTCAGGTAATCAACTGACTTTTCATCAGTGGGAAAATTTTCCAGAGGGAAAGCAAGTTAATTTATTGTAGAATCTTAGGGCAAGTCAGGCTGGGTGGAGATCATCCAGTCCAACCCTGTGCTCAGGCAGGGTCAGCTGGACTGTGGACTGTGCCCAGTTTTGGATCTCTCCAAGGGTGGAGACTCCACAGCCACTCTGGGGAAGCTGTTCTAGTGTTCAGTCAGTCTTAGATGAAGGTATTAAAAAGCCAAATGAGCTTTTGACAGGTTGTGTTTCACTCTGATCTTGGATTTAAGATCACAGAATCACAGGATGGATTGGGTGGGAAGGGACCTTAAAGCTTATATTGTTCCAGCCTCTGCCATGAGCAGGGACACCTTCCACTATCCCAGGTGACTCCAAGCCTTATCCAAGCTGGAAGATTTACCAGTTTGCTGGAGTGCCTGAGGGCAGTGGGTGCAGGATGTCTTTACCTCTGAAGTAACATCCTGAGCTAGACCTTGCACCCTTTGCTCTTTCTCTTTTAAGAACACAGATGTTTCCAGGCATTAAAAGCTATGCTTTGAGAAATTTTCCGTCTTTTAATTCCTCAGGAAAAAGCCTGTGGAGAAGAGTAAGAAACTCTTCTTGTATTATGTGTCTTTCTTCACCTCCCCCTTTGTGGTCTTCTCCTGGAACGTCATCTTCTACATCGCTTTCCTGCTGCTCTTCGCCTACGTGCTGCTGATGGATTTCCAGAAGGAGCCCACGGCCCTGGAGATCATCCTCTACGTGCTGGTCTTCATTCTGCTTTGTGATGAAGTGAGACAAGTAGGCAGCTCCTGCAAGCCCAGAGAGTTTAGCGCTAGAGCCACAGCCCTGTGGCTTTTCCCCTGCAGGGCAGTGCAGGTGCTCAGGGGAGCCATTTCCCAGCAGAGCTGCTCAGGGCTCACTGAGGGGTTTTTCCTCTGGTGTCTAATTCCTGTCTGTGCACCAAGAGGATGATGATGCCAGTGCAGACGTTCCCCAGGAATGCCTGGCTTGCCAAGCTAGTTGGTAATAAAGGGTTAAATTTAGCACATTTATCTTGGTGCAGAGCTTTAGATTAATCATTTAGATTAGCTTTAGATTAAGTCATGCCTGCCTCCCTTCCCTACATTCCACCCCCTTTATTTTTTATTTTACCAGTAAGCTGCATACCTTTGTGCATTTCTATTTAGCTTTTAATCATCTGTGCAGTTTTTGGGGGCTCAGTGCAGACTCAGGGACCAGCTGAGATGTGGGAACAGCATGTGGGGCTGCCTTTATAGGTATCTCCTGGTATCTTCTCCTCACTTCACATGGAATCTGGTGGGTTTTGGGCAAGCTGCTCTCTGCCAGTCTGTGGCCAGAGCAGTGGGAGGATGCTGGGGCAGTCAGAAGAGCAAAGAGCAGTGGGTCTGTGGGCTTGGTGCTGCTTTCTGACTCTGCTGAGTCCCCTCGTGAGTGTTTGTGGGTGATCTGCTGGATCATCCCACCCTGCAATAATGTTTTTTTACTTGAGCTCAGATGACATTTCTGATGCTGCTGTTATTGTGGTGTTTTCCCTTTTTAATAGTCAAGGTGGATCCCTGTTTATGGCAACTTTACTTGCTAAGAAAATGGGGGAAAAGTAAAAGACTTTTTTTTTTTTTTTTTTGCCATGAAAACACTAATGGAGTGTTTGTTTCTGCTGATTTAGGTTCTGGTGTCTCTGGACCTGTCCTTGCACGTCCTGTGTGCACCCAGCAAAAGTCCTAGGGAAAACCTTAGGGATAGAAACCTTATTTTCCTATCAATGTCCCTTTTTCTTACTACCCTGAGCAGGTAGAACTGCTGCAGTTCCCTTTAGTAAGGGAATTGCAGTAGCCAGGCTGTACCAATTTGACAGTGGAGGCAGCTAAATTTGAAGATTTCAAGTTATCTGCAGACAGTGTTCTGGCTCCTGAGTAGGAGAAATGGAGCAGAAAAGCAGAGCAGTGTCCCAATCCTCTAAACTTCTTGGGGAAATTCCTCCCTGTCTTCCCCTGAGATAGACCATGTGTGCATTGCTCTAACTCTGCATCAAAATTGTGCCTGTGTCCTTTGTATTTAAAGAAATAAAAGAGAGGGGTATCTCAGATTGCGCTTTTACATCCAAAGCAAGTAAGAGTAGCTTGCCTGGGGTCCCTGCAGTCAGATACCCAGTCCTGGAGAGAAATCAGCCCTTGGTCTGGAGCAGTCTCTGAACTGTAAGGCACTGGCTCAGCCCTGCTTTCACTTCTGGTGCTCCCAGGGATTTGTAAGTAGCTGGAGCTCTCCCAGTCCTGTTTAGAGCCCTAGGGAAACTGGAGAGGCCTTTTCCCTGCTGCCTCCTTAGGCACATGGAGGTAGCCTCCAGCCAGGTGAGTGGGTGCACTGGTGGGGTGTGAAGGAGAGCCCTGTTTTCTCCTGTGGAGGAGGAGTCTGGACTGAACCTCTGTGCACTTCACCTCTCAGCAGTAGGAACTGCTTGGAATTTGGAGAACTGCACCTCAGTCCCAGATGTTTTGTTTGATTTAGGGAGCTACTGGGCAGAGACAGCACCTAGAACAAAACTCCCTTTGATTTCTGTTTGTTTCCCATAAAAGCACTAAGGGCAGAATTGCATTCCTTGGATATGCCAGTTAGAGATTCACTGAGAAATACTCTCCAAAACTTTTATTATTTCAGTAAAAATTGAAATTCAAAAGAATTATGATTGGGGATGCAGTTTATTTCTCCAGGCCTGGCAGAGGTTTGTCCTGGTGAAACTTCTTGTCCTCATGAGTCACCTCTGAATTGACCCCTGAGGTTGGTTCTTGCACAGATCCAGGATCTGTGGGGATCCAGGCTGCTGTGCCAGTCAGTCTGGGAATGAGCAGGGATTCTCACTAGACCTGCAATTCAAAAATAGAGAGCTCTGTAGTTAAAAGAATAAATTAAATCTGCATCTATGATCCAAAGCATGTGCATGTAGCTGGGGGCAGATCAGTCAATGATCTCTGTGAAGGGAGAGGAGGCAGGGTGCATCAGCTGCCCCTAAACTGTGACCCCCCTCCTGGGTCACAGCAAGACCCAAAAAAACAGCTTGCCAGTAACTTGTGGCATTGCTGGACACACTAAACCCTTCTTTCTGGGGAAACTGAAAGCCATCTGAACTCTGGTGTTATCTGTTGTGTGACAAAAAGCTAATTGGGCAAGGAAACTTTGCTGTGTGGAGGTTACTTTCTGTTCTTTTTCCTTCCCAGTGGTACATGAACGGCAGCAAGTATTTCTCAGACCTGTGGAATGTTATGGATACCCTTGCAATCTTCTACTTCATAGCAGGGATTGTGTTCAGGTGAGTAGTGCCTTCTCTTGTGTCCATCTTACAGCTTTACTTCCCTTCCTTGGTGGGTTTTGACTACAACCTGCAATGAAATTCTCAGGAGCAGTCTGTTCATGAAATTCCCTTTATGAAGGCCCCAAATACTGACCAAAAAAAAAAAAAAGAAAAAAAGCCAGGGGATCTTTAGGATTTTCTGTGGCTCCTGTTACTGGCTATTTAGTATGACCACATGGGCCTTGTGTTCTATTTAAGAGGACTGTGATTGTCCCTACAACAGCCTAACAATGTCATTATCTCCCAAAGCTGTTCTACACGATGTGGTCAGTTAAAAACCATGGCAAAGAAATGATGGAATCACGTTTTCCAAAGGAATTGTTCAGTCAGCTGTAACTAAGTCCTTGTTGCCTCAGGGCAGTGGAGCAATTGTTGCACTGTGGTGGTTTCACAGGGCTGTGGGAGTAGCTCCAGGTACAGATTTCTGTGCTGTTAATGGCTTTAAGGGTAAGAGAAAAAAATAAGAGAAGAAACGAGCAGGGATATGATGCATGTCAGGAAGGAAGGGTGTAAACAGAGTGTGCATTAACCATCTCTGTCACCTGTCATTAGATATGGGAGACCATGGGGCCCTGCATAGCTGTGCTCTGCTTTCCAATTACTCACCTTCCACTCTCCATTTCAATGTTTCTGTGTGGTTTTACCTGATTTCTTCATGATTCACCCAAGGCTTCTCTTTGTTTTCTTCTGCTGTCTCCATCAGGCTTCACTCTGATGAAAGCTCTTGGTATTCCGGGAGAGTAATTTTCTGTTTGGACTACATAGTTTTTACCCTGAGGCTCATCCACATTTTCACAGTTAGCAGGAATCTAGGACCCAAAATTATTATGCTGCAGAGGATGGTAAGATTCTGGCAGCTGTTCAAGAGAGTCTAAATAAATGATGTGACACTTTTTTTTCCTTTCCCTCTTAAGAGCAAAATCACCATGTTCTGATGATGGCAGCAAGTTAAATCTGCTAAACAGGATGAATTAAGATTTAAATGGGATCTAATTAAGAGCAGGGCATTTTTCTGTGTCAAGAGATAGAATAAGGATCAGGCTGAAGAACAGAAGAGGAAATTTGCTTTCTGGTAGCTTTTGTCTTCCATACCTCAAACGTTTCAGCAGTATTTCTGTTGCTCCCATGAGTATTCCCCAAACAAGATAGTGATGATAGAGGGTACAGGGGGAGGATTTGGGTCCTCCACTGCATCCATCACACGAGTACCTAAGGAAGAGGGTGGTGAGGATCCTCTCATACAGTGCTAGAAATTCATGAAACCATTGGCCAGAGTGTCCGTGCTGTAAATGCTGGCTGGAAGCCATCCAGAGTGGCATTTCCAGAAGCTTTCATCCCACAGGGATAAGGTGAGCCACAGTCCTTTTTACCTGGTTCTGACTTTTGTGGAGCCTGTGTGACGCCAGGGGGATATCCTGTGTTCCAAAACATGCCTTGCTTTTGTGGTTGCATAAATATGTTTGAAGTTCTCGGAATGGGAGCGGTCAGTTGTTACCATGTGTGTTGGTGAAACGCAAAAAAAAAAAAAGCCCTCCATGTGTGGATGCAGAGGGGCACTCATTGATGCCTGTTGTCCCTTTTTCAGATGATAGATGTCTTCTTCTTCCTCTTCCTCTTTGCTGTGTGGATGGTGGCCTTTGGTGTGGCCAGGCAAGGCATCCTGAGGAAGAACGAGCACCGCTGGGAGTGGATCTTCCGCTCGGTCATCTATGAACCCTACCTGGCCATGTTTGGCCAGTACCCTGATGATATTGATGGTATTTGCCTTCTGGGGGTCTCTCCCGGCTGGGTCAAAGGCTCTGTCCTCCTAAATGTTGTCCAGACTGTGCTGGCCCCTTGCCTCCAAGTCTAAAGGGGAGCAGGGATGGAGGGATGAGGGCAGGAGCTGGGGCTGGGCCCTTGTCTCGGTTTGGAAAGACAGGACTCTGCTAAGGAAGGCAGAAGCCTCCCCTGAAATGGAAAATATAAAACCATCCCTCCCTTTTCTGAATTGCTATAAATTTTAAATTAAGGGGCTCTCAGGCAAAAAATATGGGAGCAAGGAATAACAGTTCTTTAATGGGGAAGAAAATAAAAAGATAAACAATGCAGTAAACTAAAACACTGACAGAGTCAGAACCCAGCCTGACACCCTGTGGGTCAGGGTGTTGGTGGCAGTCCCATTGGAATTGTGGCTCGGCCCTCCTGCAGTGTCAGGGGTGGTTCTGTTGGAGCAGGGATCCTGTAGAAGGGTGCAGTCTTCCTCTGAAGATCCAGGGGAAGAGAGCAGCTGTTCCTCTGGGAAATCCAGTGGAGAAAAGCCCCGCTGGTGTTCCAGAGCCTCCACATTATATCTGGGTAGAATGCTTGGCTCTCCCCTCTGGGCTCACATCTCTCAGTGGGATGCTGTAGTTCTTATCAGCCATGCAGTGACATTCAATAGCCTCTTATCAGCAGATGTCCCCCCAGTTGTGAAAGAGATAAGGAAAACTGCCCACTTAACAGAAGAGAACTGCCATACAAATGGCAAACAGAACAAAATTTTCTTGGCAGTCCAGGACAGCCCAGCAGAACAGGAGCTCACTGTTTGCTCTCCCCTCTCTCTCTGAGGCACCACCTACAACTTTGACCACTGCACCTTTTCTGGGAACGAGTCCAAGCCCCTGTGCGTGGAGCTGGATGCCAACAACCAGCCCCGCTTCCCCGAGTGGATCACCATTCCCCTGGTGTGCATCTACATGCTCTCCACCAACATCCTCCTGGTCAACCTGCTCGTGGCCATGTTCGGGTGCGTACCCCAGGGGCCCTCCCGGCCATCCCCGCACTGGCATTTCCCTGGGAAAGGGAGTGCACTGCTGGAAAACAGCAGGAAGCCACCCTTGCCTCTGCATCTGTCCCTGCAGCCTGGGGGAGCTGGTGCAGTGTCCTGGGGAGGGACTGCTGCCTGTCCTTGGCCTCCATCTCTGAGCATCCTCTGAGCTGTGGGCTTGGTGTGAACCCCCGTGGGTCACACAGGGGTGATGCTGGGTCAGGGCCTGGCCAAGGGTGAGCTGCTGCCCCAGTGACCTTGCTAGAGTGAGTAAATGAGTCATTCTCACTCTTCTGCCCCAGTGACCTTGCTAGAGTGAGTAAATGAGTTATTCTCACCCTTCTGTCCCAGTGACCTTGCTAGAGTGAGTAAATGAGTTATTCTCACTCTTCAGGACTCTATGGTTTTATTAACCTGACCTTGCTCCGGTGGTTGAGGCCTTGCTGGGTTCATACAGTGCTTTGTGCCATGGATTTGATCCATGCCTGGAATGTCCTTAATACCTCTACTACAAATCTTAGGAGCTTTTAAATTTTTGTTAGTGTTCTAGGTTTAGATTTATTTGTTTTTTCTTTTTTTTTCCCCTAAGAAGGGAGTTATCTGCTCAGTTAATAAGACGTAATATCTTGTGAAGAAGCATCCTGTTCTCATGTGTCTAGGCTGGAAGAAGATTGCTTAGAGCTGAGGTAGTAAAAGTACATGGAGCGTTTTCTTCTTATTCAGATTTTTTTCCAGTTTATTTGTAACTTCAAGGGTTTTTTTTTTCCTACTGTCTTAGTTCCACCCATTTGCAAATTACTAAGAAGGAGAACAAGCTAAATAACCTCCTAGTCAATAAATGAATGACTGGGACCCTAACATCAGAAGCTGCTGGGATGAGTCCAGAGGAGATTTTCCAAGGACTGGAGCCCCTCTGTTCTGGAGCCAGGCTGGGAGAGCTGGGGGTGCTCACCTGGAGAGGAGAAGGCTCCAGGGAGAACTCAGAGCCCCTTCCAGGCCCTAAAGGTCTCCAGGAGAGCTGGAGAGGGACTGGGGACAAGGGATGGAGGGACAGCACACAGGGAATGGCTCCCACTGCCAGAGGGCAGGGATGGATGGGAGATTGGGAATTGGGAATTGTTCCCTGGCAGGGTGGGCAGGCCCTGGCACTGCCCAGAGCAGCTGTGGCTGCCCCTGGCAGTGTCCAAGGCCAGGTTGGATGGGGCATGGAGCAACCTGGGATGGTGGAAGGTGTCCCTGCCCATGGCAGGGATGGATTGGGATGAGCTTTAAGGTCCCTTCCAAGCCAAACCACTGTGGGATTCTGTGGCTATAAAACCATGCCCTGGTACAGTAGAGGAATGCTCTGTTCTTGGCTCTGCTGCAGCTCTTTGGTGAATAACTCATGCTGGGTGTCTCTCTTTCCCACCAGCTACACGGTTGGATCAGTGCAGGAGAACAATGACCAGGTGTGGAAGTTCCAGCGGTTTTTCCTGGTGCAGGAATACTGCAGTCGCCTGACCATCCCCTTCCCCTTTGTCATCTTTGCCTACATATACATGGTGCTGAGGAAATGCTTCAAGTGCTGCTGTAACAAGGAAAGCAAAGAGCCATCCATTTGTTGTGAGTTGGATTTTTCCTTGTTGCCCAAGGAACCTTGGATTTGGCCTTTGCTGCCCAATGCAGCAGGTGCATTGCAGATCCTCCATGGCATCCTGTGCTTATTCCAGGCATTTTGTGCTCCCCTGGGAAATTTCCAAGGGCCATGTAGACCTCTGTCATGCAAATCCACTGTGCTGATGGAAATCTCTTCAGTAGGATTCAAGTTTTCAAGTCAGATTTATCCAGTGCTCTCTTGTCCAAGACATTTCGATGTAGAATTGCTTTGTGTGTGTAAATCATTAAGACTTCAGATTAATCCCAACTCTTTAGGGCTGCCTGTGCTGTTTCCCAGCATTGCAAGGTTTTTTGTAATTAATCCTGCTTGCTAGGGATGACAGAAAGAGAATAAACAGTTTCCATGTAGCCAAACGAGCAAACTACCTCAAAAATGGCAAGTCAATTCTTGAGCTATTTCTCCTTCAATTTCTCTGTCAGAGGACACAGATAGGAATTGTTTTAACAAGCCTTCCCCCCATCTCTCCAGCAAATGTAGTGTTTTCTCAGCTGAGAGAGCATAAGTTGAGTTAATTGACAGGCCTGCTCCCATTCATCAGCAATCTGCCTGTTGCCCTGCAGCAGAAGCTGGATTTGTTACCAGTTTAGGAGGAAGAGCCTGCTTTGGGCTATAAAATTGCTTAGCACTAAATCACTTTGGCTGTCCAGATTGCTGTGTGGATTCCTTGCTGGGGAAGCTGTTGGATGGCAGAAATTCCTGCTCAAATGATGCACAGTGGATGCTGCAGCTCTGAAAGAATGGGAGAGTTAATTAGAGCCAGAAAATGATTGTGGTTTTGCTGATGATAGGAACTGAAAACTATGTGGAGGAAGCACACTGATGTGTTGACTGTTGTAAAATCCTGCCTTCCCCATTTAACTCTTAAGGAAATGGTTGGGATTTGGGTACTTAAATGCTTGTTGGAATGTAGGAGAACAGCTGAGGAGTGTGTGAGCTCAGAGGAGCACTGGGTGGAAGAAAGGGATTTCAGCCGTTCACCACCTCTGGGCTTCTTTTGTCTCAGTTAATTTTTTTTTTTATTTTAAAAAATGTGGTTTATTCCTCATGGAACATGATAAAATGCTGAAGTATTACCCTGGAGGGCTTTGATGCCTCAAAGTGGGCTCCTCTGTATCAATTATTGAATTCACAGCACCACCACAAAATGCTTCTTAGAGAAGACAATTCTTCATCGTTCTGGAGGGTTTCAGTTCAGTGAAAAATCCTACACTGTGGTTCTTAGAAGTGTTACTCTTAATGACCCAATATGGGATAATATAGAAGCAAATGGAAAGCTCAAACCCAGATGGGAACTTGCTAGAATGTCCTGTACCTGCTGAAGCAGAGGCACCTGTGTTAACCAAGACTCAGAGAAGGCCAGAAAGACTTTTGGAGCTTGTAAGGCTGGGGAGGAGGGGGGTGTTTTGTGTTTGTTTGGCTGGTTTGGGGTTTTATGTTTGCTCAGATTTTGTATTTTTAAGTGACTCTGGTTGCCAGGAGCATTCAGTGCCAGGTGTTGCTGTCACATCTGTCAGGGGTGGGCAGTGGGGCTGTGAGTGCTCAGGATGTGGGGAAGGGAATCATTAACCTCAGAATCCACACACTGACCCAGCCTTTTTGCACCTTGGCTTTGGAAAGACAAATTAAGTGTTTTTTCTTCAAATAAATTTCCCAGGCTCGAGAAATGAGGACAATGAAATCCTGGCATGGGAAGCTGTCATGAAGGAAAATTACCTCGTCAAAATCAATACAAAAGCAAATGATTCATCAGAAGAGTAAGCCTGCCCATCTTTGTCTTCATTCTCTTAATTTTCTCTTGAACATTTCTAGTGAAGGCAAGTTTTCAGCAGCTCTAAATGTTTACAAATTAATGAGTAAGTAAGCAATCTCAGCATAAACATGCTTTTTATTCCTAAAGTGAAATGGTGCTTTTTTGTCTGCTGAAGAGAAGAAAATGTCTTCCCATGGTGTTTTGAGATCTCATCATGGGAAGCAGTGCCACAGCTGACTCTTGCTGTAGCATTAGTTTAGGTTGGATATTAGGAAAAAGTTCTTTATGGAAAGGGTTGTCCAGCCCTGGAACAGACTGCACAGGGCAGTGGGGGCACTCCCACCTCAGGGTGGGGATTTAAAAGCTTTGTGGATTTGGCACTTGGGGACACAAGTTAGTGGTGGGATTGATTGGACTCAGTCTTTTCCAACCCAGATAATTCTATGGTTATACATTTAGCAGACAATGTTTGCCATTAGATTTGGAATCTCTGATGTTCCCACAGCAGTAATCCAGATGGAGATGTGTACTTAGTCTGGAAGACCTCTGAGGAGGGAAGATGATCTTTAGAATAATGGTATTTGGAGCTTGGATACTTAGACTTGGATGTTTCTTTGACTGCCAGCTCATGGAAACATTATCTTTGGGATCTGTCTCACTGTTTTCAGAGTAATAGTGCAAGAGAAAAAAGAAACAGAAAGAAAGGAAGAAAACAGAGCACTGCTAGAGAGCAAAACCTGCTCTGTATGATTGCTTAACTTTGCTAACTTCTGACAGCTTGAGTATTTCCTTTAATCAGAGAGAGCTGTTAGGAATGGGCAAGAAAAACCAGACCCTTCCTATCCGTGGGCATGAACATTGCTGTCCCCAAATAAATGTTTAGTTAAGACTACCCAGAGACATGCAGCATTGGATAAGAAGCCAAACAAATACCAAAACCATCTCCTTGGTACTGGAAGCAAAAGTGTCTTAAGGAGGAAAATGGAATAGCATCCTACTCATAATAATAATTTGCATATTAGTTCATTTACTTTTACTAAAAATGATGCCAGTCACGTGCAGCCCTGCCTCCCTGGGAGGATGGAGCCCTGGGGGAGGTGGGATGTGGTAATTGGCCAAGTTTTCCTTGGTATTCAGACTGATCCCTTTGCTCCGTGTTCTCCTTCTGCTTCTAGGATGGTGCATCGATTCAGACAGCTGGATGCAAAGGTACTTCTGTCCCAGACTGCTCTGGGGAATGTGATTCTCTCTGGTGAACAGGGGGTGTGCCATGGCAAGGAAAATGAGCTCCCAGAGTCATGTGCAGTCTTTGTCACTGTCACCAGGACCCCATTTTAACTGGGCTTTTTTACCATGGTGTTTTGATTGCATGGACAGGAACGTGTATGGTGTGTAGAGATTAGGACAAGAGGGAATGGGTTTGAACATAGAGCAGGTAAAGATGGGATAATGGGAAGAAATTCTTGGCTGTGAGGGTGGGCAGGCCCTGGCACAAGGTGCCCACAGAAGCTGTGGCTGCCCCAGGATCCCTGGAAGTGCCCAAGGCCAGGCTGGATGGGGCTTGGAGCAGCCTGTGTCCCTGCCCACAGCAGAGGTGGAACACAATGAGCTATAAGGTCCCTTCCAAGCCACAAGAGCTTCATATTGTGAAGGAAAATGAAACAGAAAGACACTTGCTGGAGGAGTGTTTCTCAGTATTCCTTGTGGGATGGAATAAAATAGAAGTAATTTCCACCTTAAACTGCAGCATTCAGCTGTGTAACAGGCCCATGAAACACCAATGGGAAGAAGGGATGTCACACACCTGGTATGTCCCCTTCCCAAGGTGTCTGTCAAGTTTAGCTTCTGGTGCTGTTGGCATGGGGTAATTAAGCAATAGAAAGCTACCAATCTGCCAGAGAGCACATTATGAGAATTGCCATACAAATAATCTTTTTATGACTGTGATGCTGAAAAGACATTCACAGTGGGTATTTTCTGAGGCTTGACTGAACAATCTATTTGGCCTCTGAAGTGGGGAGTGGCTTTGACATGAAGCACAGACTTTTGAGAAGCTCACAGGTGAAAAGACCCATGTATACTTCAGAATACATATTTTGGTTGCTGTCAAATAATTTCGATTACAAAATGATAGTTTGCTTCCCAAGACTGAAAGGGAAGTGGTGAGCCAGTCTGTGGCTAGTGATGCTGCTCTTGAAACTGAAAAGAGATCCTCCTAACCTTAATTCCCTCTTGTTTCTCTCTTCTGGTCACTGCTGGTTAACTCACTGAAATACAGAGGCATCAGGGCTTGCTGCATTAATTGCCCCGATGAACATTGTAATTGGGAGTGTCCTCTCCAGCACTCTTGCATTTGATGCAATACTTGAAGAGGCAATTAGTCAGTACTTCCTTTTCTCATTAGCACTGCTTTCATTCAGCTAGATAGACTTTACCAAAATAACCTCCTTCTTCTTTTTTTTAAAGCTCTCTGATTTGAAAGGCCTTCTGAAAGAGATTTCCAGTAAAATTAAATGAGTGCAGCTGAAATCCAAGAGCAGCTACTTGAGCAGGGTAAGCCCTCTTTAAATCCATTCTCTGCCTTGAAAAAGCCTACCAGAATTTGTGGTGTTCAGTTGCTGTCTCTTTGGAAGAAGAGCTAGTATTAATTGTTGATGCTTGTATTCATATTGTCTGATACTGGGAAAGAAAGGAGACCAGAATTCTGTTCCTCATTTGTGTTTTTCTTTCTGAAAAATACAGTTTTCCATCTGGGGTTTCTATCAATTTTGGCACTGTTTAAAATACCTTGTTTTGCTCACTTCTCTTTGAAAAACTGTGACTAACCCAAGGTCATTTTAGTTGTCTTTGTGTTGGAGGGCCTCTAGAAAATGCAGGGCTGCTGTGCTGGATCCTCTACCCTTGGTACCTTTTAGCTCTGAAGAGCATGCAACCCAAATAGAAAAGACAGGAGTGAGGGCAGGAGTAAGGTTTATTTTTCCATTATCAAAGTGCGGCTTAGGCTGGATCCCTGTAGCCTTCCTGTGTCCTGTACAATAAGCTGCAGTGCGAGGAGCTGACCCAAAGCCTCTGGTCCACCTGAGTGTCTGGTCATCAGCCTTGTGTACTTTTACCTCCAGTTTTAAGGAAGAATTGGCTTGGATGCCACAGTGGGATGTGAAAGGCAGACAGAACACTGATGGATGCAGAGAACACTGTCATCTTTGGAGACAGCAGGTTAAGAAGAGTAACTGTTGAATGAGATAATCTGGAACAACTTGATCAGCCTGGACATTAGGGCCTGGCTCCTCCTTCCACAGAGTGGTTTTGTCCAGGAGAACTTAAACCTGTGCCAAACACTCCCCAGTCAGCTCACTGTTTTCCTGGGAAAACTGAAGATTCACTTGACCTAAGTTCCATTTAGTCATGAATGACTTGCAACCACCTAATAAAATCTACAAGGGTCACCAGTTCCTGGGCTGGTTGTAGGAGGTGCTGGACTCCAAGTTGCCTAAAAACCAGGCTGTAGAATAGTGGAACTCTGGAGGCCATTTAGGCCAGCACAGATCAAAGGGAGCTGCAGTGTGGCTGGAAAACCAGGCTGTAATTCAGGCTGTAATTAGTTACAGTGGGGCAGCCTGGGACAAGGGACAGCAGTTTATGATGGAGCTTGTTGAAAGGGATCTCTCATTACAGATGATAGTGCCTTCAGAAGAATCCTAGAATCCCAGAATGGTTTGGGTTGGAAGGGACCTTAAAGCTCATCCATTCCACCCTCTGCCATGGGCAGGGACACCTCCCCCCCGGACAAGGCATCCAAGTCACCTGAGCTGATGTGGAGAGGATGAAAGCAAAGCCTTGAGGTGGGCTAGGAGCTCTACTCTCCAATTCTTTCTGTTGCTCACACAGGTACCAATTCATGAAGAATAATTGCTCAGAGCTGGCAGTAACCCCCAAGCAGATGGCAACAGAGGCACCAGACTATCAACGTCTCAGCAGGAGTCAGCAGGATTTTCTTGCTATTTTTATCTTCATTGATCAAACAGCCCTTTCTGCTTGTTGCAAGGTTGTGGGGAAACAGGAGATGACTGCTTATCTCCTGACACGATTCCTGCATTACCCAAACTCTTCTCATCTGCCCTAATGTCCAGTGGCAGCAATTAGTCCTAGTAAGCTGCTGTTGCAAAGCACTCCTATTTCCAAGAGTTCTGCTACTGTTGCCCAAATCCTTTTGCTTTTCCATTTCACTCAAAGGGACCTGTGCACGGGTTTCCTTCAAGCACTAATTGCTTGTCTGAATGAATCCATCTCCCTTCCCATTCCATCCTCTAGTAGCTGGATCTTGCTTGTTCCTTGCATGGGCTGTCTGTCAGACCTGCTGGGGTCTGGAATGCTGGTGTGCCAGAATGCAATGGATTTTGGCATCATCCCCCTGAGTAAAGCCTTTGGTCCAACCCTGCATCCCTATTTCGGACTGTACAGGAACACTGTGGACTTTTTCCCACTCTACCTGAAACCTTTCAGCACTGCAGAAGTTCAGCTATTACAGCCCCGCATGGAAGAGACTTTAATTCATCTAGGAAGCGATTCCAAAGGCTTTGTGGGCAATCCTCGCTTGGTTTCATTAGTGAAAATTTGTATCCTGGGAATGTTGGAACTCATTTGACTTTTGCAACCTGTGTTTGCTGATGTTTCCATCTGGAAATGGAGAAGAGATTGTTGGAACCTTTAAATAGAGCAATGCTCGATATGGTGAGGTGGCGCTTTGTGCTTTCTGTCTAAAACAGCAGCTGAATCCTGTCACTTTTGTTTGGTACAACTGAGAGCACAGCCAACTGAAGGCACTACAAATAGCATTTATTTACATGGCAAAGCACTGTAAAAAAGCAATCTTCCTTCCCAGGGTCTAGGAATCATGGAATCATAGACTCACCAGAGAAAAGAACCTGCAAGGATCAGGAGCCCAGCCCCTGGCCCTGCACAGACACCCCAACAACCCCACCCTGTGCATCCCTGGGGCATTGTTCAGATGTTCCTTGGGCTCTGGCAGCCTGGGGGCTGTGCCCATTCCCTGGGGAGCCTGGGCAGTGCCCAGCACCCACTGGGGAAAGAACCTTTTCCTGATCTCCGACCTGACCCTGCCCTGACACAGCTCCAGCCATTCCCTCAGGTGCTGTCCCTGTCACAGAGAGCAGGGATTGGAGCTGTCCCTCGGGAGGAAGATGCTGAGATCTCCTCCCCCTCTCTCCTCCTCCTCTCCAAGCTGAACAAGCCAATTGACCTCAGCTGTTCCTCATACAGTTTCCCCTCCTGTCCCCTCATCATCTTCATGTCCCTCTTTGGATACTCTCTGCTAGCTTTATATCCTTATGATATGATCAGAGAGGTTGCTGCTCTTCTCTCCCTGCATCTCCTGACCCAGCTGTACTGTATGCTGTGCATGACACCATCCTGGGGGATCCAGCACTAACAACAGCACTGGTATCTGTTTACATGGGGGAATACTTCCTGCAGAAAACTAAAGGAGCCAGGCTTTCCCTGATTCACATGGCAGTTAGCTTGCATCATAAATTCTCGAGATAAGGTTCCTTTCTGGAAATTATTTTCCTCATATCATTTGTCTGCCTTGGGTGTGAAAATTGTGCTTTTTGTTCACTCCCTTCCTATATAAAACCTGTGGAATCCTTTGAACCCTTCAGGGAAATCCCAACGGCCTTGCCTTGGAAGAATATACAATAGTCTCCACCTAGGCTGAAAGAGAAGACTTCTGCCACGGAGCCTTGCAACACTATGATCCACCCCTGTTCCTTCCTCCATGGGTCCCAAATTCTCATGGTTTCTCCTTTATGTGTTTCCTCGTTGGTTGGGGTACCCCTAGTGTCCGGCCCTGTCTTCCCTGAAAGCCAATCCCCTTTGCATTGCAATTTGTGCTGCCC